AATAATTATTCTCATGTTAAAAATATTTTTCATTTTTGTAAAATCTTGATAAACATTGCTTTCCTTTTTTTTATTGTCATATAGGAACTGGCATTACAGTAAATGCAGTTCATCCAGGTGTAGTACACACTGAGATAGTCCGACATATGGGATTTAACAACAGTTATATTTCGAGACTGATTGTGAAATCGTTGCTGTGGTTGTTTGTTAAGTCTTCCATGAAAGGAGCACAACCTGTTTTGTATGTTGCATTAGATCCATCTTTGCAAGATGTAACTGGAGCATACTTTAGGTAAGTTTTATTATAAGTGATTTAAAATACTATTATATTGTTTCCATATTATTTTTATTACAGCAATTTTAGAATGGCAGATATTTCGGAGGAAGCAAAGAATGATCAAATTGCTAAATGGTTGTGGGTAGTTAGTGAAAAATGGACTAAATTAAGTTTTGTATAATTTAATGTAAATCTAATAAAGTCTAATCTAAATTTAATAAAAATAAATCATGTTAATCCTCTCAGTGTTGGTATACATTACAGTAAGTAAAGTAGTACCCGATTTTAGTTTCATATGAGTAATTTTTTATAATAAAATTTTTCTACATTTCTGCAGTTCATGAGTTTTGCAATTAAAAATTGTAGCTTGATTACAACAATTATTACACGTATAGTAATATTATAAAAATGATAAAATTTGCATCCTTACTCAAGAAAGCAAAATGAGTGATTGTTTGACAGATCAAAAATACATAAATGTGCATAGGTACATAATGAAAAAAACCGGATTACTCACCAAATTATTGCATCCCATTTTTTCAAGCGTAGCATAGAATGTTCTTCATTTTTTACACAGAGTATAGCCACAACAAATTATTTAAAAAATACTTTGTTTTATAACATTACATTTACATAATAGAAAAATATGTGAAAAACTGAAATGTAAGAAACATTCACCATTTGAAATTCACTACATATTGACTGTCCGCGCGAAAAGCACAATTAACATGTAAGCAGTTCTAACTGACGAGTTCAAACAGTTTTGTTTCTACTATTGAATGTTCCAAACATATACACAATGTTAGGAAAAAAGATCGTCCATCTATATATTTTGGCTTAAATAAAAAAATCTGATAGATTACGTTATGTTACTATATACAGAATGCACATACTTTAAAAATATACATATACATATTTGTTTCATTTTGATCTTCCTCCATAAGTACGTTCAATTTGAAATCGAAATCTTCTAAATGTAATAGCGCATGCGTCTTAATACTGTTTCTAACGTTACAATGTTTTGACTAGAGATGGCGTGAACTGCTACTTGTGTGTAGTGATGGGATTTGGAACGCTTCGAATCGATTAGAAACTGTCTTGAATTCGAGCGACAAATTCGAATCGCTTCGAATCTGATTCGAAGCTACAAAAGTCTTGAAAGTCTTGAACGGATTCGAAGTTCCGAGGCAATTCGAAGTCTCGAGCGGCTTCGAAGTCTTGACCAGATTCGAAGACTTTTTTTTTTATTTAGTAATTTAACGGGTATTAACCCAGTATACATATATAACAATTAATGACAATAAGATTAGAAACAGTTACATTAATATATTATACAGTATGGAATAGTCACAACAGGAAAGTTTTAATGAAATATTAACAAGATTAAACAGTTCTTAGTGCTCTATGTAGGGATGCCTTAAAGTATTCAATAGAGCCACTGAAAAAGTCAATCAGATCCGTGAAATTATTGGCTGATTTCAGGATTCGATAAATTGGATCGCCTGAACCATATTTAGTTTTTACTATATCAAGTCTTGACCAGATTCGAAGTCTTGACCGGATTCGAGTCTTGAACGGTCTTGGAAATCTTGAGGAAAATGTCTTTTAGGAAAGACAATGGGGGGTGCACTCCTAAGTGGACGTGCCTTCAATGCGTTCGGTCGATTCGTCACGTACAGCCTATCCATGAAAATATACAAACTATCGACGACCCAGACGTCTCGCTAAGAGGCTGTGCGTCGAGAACTCCCAAGATTTCCAAGACCGTTCAAGACTCGAATCCGCTCAAGACTTCGAATCCGTTCAAGACTTCGAATCCGTTCAAGACTTTCAAGACTTTTGTAGCTTCGAATCAGATTCGAAGCGATTCGAAGTTTTCGTCCATGTACAGATTCGAAGCGATTCGAAGCGTTCCAAATCCCATGATTCCCATCGCTACTTGTGAAAATATATTCTCCCGCAAGGAGAAAGAGGCGCGTCCATCGCGTTGCCGCCTGCGTGCGGCAGATGCTACATCACGTACACGACTCGTAGACAATAAAGCTTTGTCCATACTAGAGATGGTGTGCAAAATCACTAACGGTGATTTATCACAGTGTTTACCAAATCACGATCACGGTCGTGATTTAACTTCATTTACGACCGTGATTGCGATTTTTTTATCTTGAGTGAATTTGCTCACTGCGATCGTAAGTCCTTGATCTTTAAACAGAAAAACGCATTCAATATGATTTTACGATGAATTACATTACTATTTGTGTTTGTAAAAATCAGTAGAAAAAACAAGAATTTCTAAAAAAATGATTTGCTAGGTAACATGTAGATTATAATTTATATCATTAATTTATTCATTATTCTTCATTGTTTCTAATTATTTTTTCACTTTATACGATATAACTCGAATTTTTGTTTTGATGTCGTTAATATAAAATATACAGATTATGTGTCGCGTGTAAAGAACTGTTAGGTTCCTCCACCAATCAGAAACGATCACGAGAAATCACGAAACACTGTGAAAAATCACCGTGATTGGGAACGAACGTGATCGAATCACGAGTGATTCACAAGTAGCAGTTCACGCCATCTCTATTCCATACACGTGGCAGTATTATTTAACCTCCGCGCTACAGTGGCCGGGACGTAATATCCCTAGCGTCCTTCAAAGCCACAATTTCCTATAGGCAGTGATGCCAGGACGTGGGATTTTCTCCCACATGGGAGCCTTCGTGCGCATGCGCATGCGGACGTCACAGCTCGACGGCGGTTGTTTCCATGGACGTATCTATGTGCAACAGTAGGTACGCGTAAGGGGCCCTTCCCAGTTGTTTCCCGCGTTTTTCGTTAAAGTGAAGGTGAGTCGCGTAATGTTATATAATATATTGAATTGTAGTGCAATATTAGTGTATTACAGTGACAGAAACCAGAAGATGGATTACCAGCAGCCTAGTTCGAGTGGATTGGCGGATAAGAAGAGAAGTAACAAAGGGAAAGTATTCCAATTATCTTGGCTAAAGAATAATATTTTCAAAGACTGGTTAAAATCTGATAATAATAAAAAAGCTTTCTGCACGGCTTGCAATAAAGTCTTGGCATGCGGAAAATCAGAACTTATTAGACATTCGCGGACTCAATTACATATTAAAAATACAAGCAAAAGCTGTGATATCACACCATCTGTTTTATTACCAAAAGTTGATAGTAATTCTGATTTGGACCATGTTAATAAAGTCAAAACAGCCGAAATAAAGTTAGCTGCGTTTTACGCGGAGCACAATATAGCTTTTCAAACAATTAATCACATGGTCCCTTTATTAAAGGAAACCTGTTCAGATCCGCAGGTGGTTAAGGATCTAAAATTGTCACGAACTAAATGTACGCAGATAATAAAAAATGTAATAGGCAAACGCGAAAGCGATAAGCTTATTACAGAATTAAAAATTCAGAAATTTTCAATATTAATTGATGAAAGCACGACTATATGTTTCATATATAATGTTCTTGTTTGAATACTAGTAAGGTTTTCTGCAGTTTTTCTTACTCTCGCAACAAATGTTTGTATTCATGTAATAAATCGGCTGCAGATGTACAAAATAATAAAAAAATATATATTCATTTATTTCCATGTAAATATGTTATTTCTTTTAAAAATGTCCTCTTCCTGTAATTTCTACCGTATTTCAATTGTCACGGGGGTCTAACGATACCCCATATTTGAGTGAAGTATATACGTTACTGAGGATTAGGTAGTGCGCATGCGTGGGAAAAATCCCACGTCCTGGCATCACAGCCTATAGGTTTCCTGTTGGACGCGTCCATCGTCTTCCGCTGCGGAAGTTCCGCACTATTCCGCAGTCGGATTCAGTCATTTCAGTCGGACTGCAGCACGCCATGTTTCAGAGGTACATAAACAGACAGGTCTAGCCTTGTAAGTACAGCAATTTTTTTGTTTTATATTATGGAAAATAAATGTTTTTGCTATAAATTAAAGACACTAACTTAATTACTTACAAAAAATGCAGAATACAATATTATGACACAATATAATATATATGTATATGAAACAAAGTTAATACTTCTGATTATATAGTAGTAGACTCACTGACTATAATTTTAACTATTATCTAGGTATATTGTACCAATATGGTCCTATATACGTTCAAATACCGAATAAAATAAAATGGTATGTAAATATGTCATTCGATTTGCAAAATAATATAAGATACAATAGACAGGGCCGTTACTGACTTGTTGGTCACTCGGGTGCAAAAGCAGTATCGCCGCCCTTATTACTTCAATATTATTTAATTAAGAATTTAATATGTAGTATATTTATTTATATATGCCCATATTTAGATGTAATTTTTTAACATTTATCATGTAAAGGGAACATTTTTTAATTTTTATATCTATAGAATGATACTGAGATATTTAAAAAATAAATATTTTTATTTAAAATGAATACTTTACTCTACATATAAGTACAAAACTAACGTATAATGTTTGTAATAATGATGTTATGCTTAATGAATAGCGGCCATTAATTACCTACATTTAATCCAATAACTATGACTACATATCATATGTCATTTTGGGGTGTCCATAAAGATAGTTCCTTCTTATATATGAATAGTATTATAAAGATTACATATAGAAATAATTTGATTAAATTTTATTCCTGTCAAATTTTCATAATCATCAGAAAAGTTTTGATTATTATACTTGCTAACCCCTATGAGAGAATGATAAAAGACCATTGGCTGAATTAATCAATAGCTGGTTAATCCAATAATATATGTTAAATATCATCTACAAAGTTCATATAAATATAAAACAAAATGAATAACCATTCAAACAATGTCCAGTATCATAAAAAGTACATTTAGCCTTATAAGCATTATACATGAGGGACATAGCAAATTTCAAATATATTTCAAAACTACATACAAAAAATGTATTCATTCTTTTCCCACTGAGCTTTGCAATGGAAATATAGCCACTTAAAAAAAAAACTGGTTAAAGTAGGATCAAATAAGGTACATTCTATTGTATTACAAAATCATATATGAATATAGCTCCGGGTATTCCAAAATCATATATGGATATGTCGCTGGTTATTTCAATATAATTTATGGATCTGTTGTTGATTATTGCATTATAATATATGGATATAATTCTGAATAATTGCAAAGAAAGAAAAGGACATGATTCTGTG